AGAATGTGCAACTTTATTCCTTTTTATTTGCATATTCATTCTTGGTCTCACGAGGATTTTTTTTTAAATTTATAATTCACCTATTGGTAAAAGTGAGAATATATATGCAAAAAATTGTACATGATAGTTTTTCTCAGAAAGAAAAACCTATATGATTATATAAACATTTGTGAGAACAATATTGCGAAACAAATATGGGACTGAATCTGAACAACAACTATTTTTATTTTCCATCCGAAAATTTTCAACAGAGTAATAAACACAAATGTGAAAGTGAGTCAAAAGGGCAAATCAGAAGTTCTAAACACAAGGTGAAAGGGAGTCGAATGCATGAAACAAAAGTATCTAGTTTTTAATATTTCTGAAGTTCTTATAGAAGCTTTGAAGCTCCAATGTCTTTTGAATATCTAGCAAGACTCTGGGAAAGTATCCTTATAAGAGATAAAAAAATATCTGAGGTAACAAATAAGAAACTTCTCCTATTTATCTCGCTAAGGTATTTCCTACCCTGCAAAATAATCAAGTGTTTAAAAAAAAAGAACTATATACACCCAAACCCAGACCCAAAGCCAAAGGGCCAAACCCAAAGCTCTCTTATTCGCAAAACACCCACCAAATCTGGATATTTGCTAATTTATCAACACATTTTTTTTTGAAATTGACTTAAAATATCCCTTTCATTTAATACCATTGAATTTCAAACATAGATACTTCATTTACATTGATTTGAGGTATCTCTCTCATTAGCAATGTTAAGTTTCCAAAATTTAGGAGGGATAATAATAATAACTCTCTCCTCTCCCTCTTCAGGTAGAAGGTATGCATGTTAGGTAATTTACCCCTATGAATTTGTAAGGAATGAGAGGAGTATAAAAATCGATCAAATATGAATATTTGGAAAATCAAATTATACAAATATGATAGAATGGGGGATTTGGGCGAAAAAAAATCTTTAATCTTTGTTGTGTCTTTATTAACTGTTCGTATGTGTACTACGAAAATAATTACAAATATGATAAGCATTATATTATATATTTAATATCTATTCTGCTTAAATCACTCTGTAAGAATGATGATAACTCGTATCATAGAAAAATTGTGCCAAAGACGCAATTCGCAAAGAGCCAATGTAGGTCTCTGAAAGCAGATCTCTAGGAGATGTAGTTTTACCTTTCTACTGTAAGTTTGTAATTAGCTTAAGTCGATCAATCCTGATGGGTATGATCCCGTTAAGCTATCATCATTTTATAACATTTTTCATTTGTATTTATGCCATGACTTTCCTAACCAAAAGTTGGAATGATGACACCTAAGCCTCATCCCAAAATATATACAAAAAAATATTTTTAGAAAAAAAAAATCCAACGTTCTCTCTCACGTATCCGTCTTTGGCAGGAGTTGCAAGAATCGATTCTATTGTTTTTCCTTGCTACTGTGATCCATTGCCAGATGCAACCGTTGCGTAATATATGGGCCTCATTTCATCAGGCTTCCTCCATTATCAAAAAGAACACGCGCCCTATGAGAAAACTTTGAAAAAATGACCAAGAAAAGGGTTCAGAGAGTTCGCACCTCCAGTTCTACTCCAGAATGAGAAGAATCCCCACCTATTTTGAGAAGAACAATTTTTCTAAACAGACCCATTTTAATTTTTTTTAAAAAAAACCGACTTTTTTTTTACCAAAACCGACCCGATTTTGTGATTAGCAGACTAATCACCTTCCTAAATAGTCGGGATTAGTAACCCTAACTATTTAGGATGGTGTTAAACCTTAATTAGAAACCTTAAACCCTAAAAATTAATGTCCTAAATAGTCAGGGTTACCCCCGACTATTTAGGAAAGTGATTAGTCTGCTAATCACAAAATCAGATCGATTTTGGTAAATAAAAAAAAATCGGTTTTTAATTTTTTTTTTGAAATGGGTCTGTTTAGAAAAATTGTTCATTTTGAGAAACCACCGGGCGACACGTCAATGATTAATTTTAACACACACAAAGCCATTCAACGGTTAGTGATACATCAGCTAATTCAGTTAACAGTTCCAGAAACATCCTATTAACATCAAATAACCAGAACAAGCAGAACAAATAAAATATGGAAACAATATTAGTTTAAAACTCTTTTTTAGTCTAACTAATTTGCATCATTCTCCTTACAAGGGTTTGTAATTGCAAACAGACAAGTTCGTTTAAAGAATAAAAGAGAGTACAACAAAGATTTTGAAGGAAAAGTTCATACACCCACAACAATGATAAAAGTCGTCCCGCGGATCCTCCTGGTATTGGCGTCTAAATTTTAGCCAGCCTAGCTTTGTACATGCAAATGTATGCCATATGCCAGTCACCTGTTTTCAAAACAATCAGTAAATAAATGATCATCAGTAAGAACACAAATCATAAAATAACAATAGGAGCATGTTCTCAGCCAAAGGAGTCTTCTAATATTTTGACAATAACCCACGAGCTACAACGAGTATAATATCACCTGAACCAAGCTTTCATCTGCCCACACATAGGCACATACATGCGCGCACGCACACATTGACATACACAAACACAGAAACTCACCATATAGTTCTATATAGAGGTGCAGGCAGAATATAGGTTAAGGGACAAACAAAATTGAGTATGATGTCTGAGCTACTTACCTCCACCAGAAAGTCGTGTTATGTCATCTTCCCTTTGGGGAATGGGATTATCATCATCATATTGAATCCATTTACCTGGATCGTTAACCCATGAACTACATAAGCAGACTTTCATAGCAAGTTTGTCTACCAGTGGCATATGTTTTTGGAATACTGACCACTTTCTTGCTTCACCCAGGCAACATAGTGACCAGAGTCGGCACTCCTTCCCTTGTGAGTCAGCACCGCGACCAGGTCGTAGATGCCAGTTAGTTGCATGTTTTCATCTAACAAGATAATGTAAATAATGCAACATACAGAAATGAGGAATAAGATAATGCAACATACAGAAATGAGGAATAAATAATAAACCGAGCTAGCAAGCAACACTGGATTAACCGACATTTCTTGCCCTGATGATTCAAAAAGTTCTACCATGGCACGCAAGAAATAGAAAAGCAAAACCTTGCACTAACCAGTATGCCTTGCCTTAAAAAGAGTAAAGAATCATATCAATGTGTAAAAGCAAAGTGATCAAAGCCTTCATCCCTTCATCAAACCTCACCGCAAGGCAAACTTAAAACACTTTCATTGCACCGTTAACTATCATAACCCTTTCTGTTTACTTTTCTCCAAAAACACACTCATCCTTTCCTCCTTAACCCATTACCAACTGATACCGACAAGAACATTGAATACATTTTACTTTTTACCGCCTTAATAAAAATATAAAGACAGTTGCAAACATTGATTTCCTAAGCCAATGATTACAAGGGAAGGTTCAAAGTGCTCTGTTCAAATTTGCATGGTCATGTAAACGTACAAACATGAAACATGTCATATTTGACTACAATTTTCTGATGACAATTTTTAAGATACTTATTATATTAACCATTCCTAATAAATCTAATTTTAAAAGCAAAGTGATCAAAGCCTTCATCCCTTAATCAAACCTCACCGCAAGGCAAACTTAAAACACTTTCATTGCACCGTTAACTATCATAACCCTTTCTGTTTACCTTCTCCAACAACACACTCATCCCTTTTTAACCCATTACCAACTGATATCGACAGGAACATTGAATATATTTTACTTTTTACCGCCTTAAAAAAATCTAAAGACAGTTGCAAACATTGAATATTATTTCCTAAGCTAATGATTACGAGGGAAGGTTCAAAGTGTTCTGTTCAAATTTGCATGGTCGTGTAAATGGACAAACATGAAACATGTCATATTTGCCTACAATTTTCTGATGACAATTTTTAAGATACTTGTTATATTAACCATTCTTAATAAATCTAATCAATTCCAGATGCAAGTAAACAAGTCATGCAATCTGTGGTTTCCTTAGGCGAAGGATGGAAACAGCACTGTGAGGTTTCTAGGATTTTGAACAAATTTAAGCAACTTATATTTATCCATACAGTACCTGCTGATGCAAGTAAATAAGTCATAGTACTAGAACCTCAGTGATTATGTTGAATTGTTGTAGTGATTAATGTAGCTCTCTTAAGCAAATGCGATAAATTTAAATTAGTTTCTGCCACGCACTATGCACATGTAATTGAACCAATTTAAACTTTTAGCATTTGTCAAGCTCTTTTATGTGCGTACGATGCGTGTAAAAAACTAGTGTACAAATGTAAGGGAGTAATATCTCATGAAACTGGTGGATCTTTTTTTCCTTACCTACTTCAGGAACAGTGGTGGACGGCTCAGCATCCATAGATCCCTAAAAATATGAAGCAATCACAGGTCAGAATAAAGTTGACCTTGAAGCCATTCAAAATTCTCCTAGTTTCTTTTAGAATCAACCAAGCCAGCATCTAAGAAGAGAAATGAAATACTCAAAGCAGAGAAAGTTGAAAAGAGAATCATTAAAGCATCATGTATTCAGAAAATAGTTTTCTTAGACACTACTGATACATGTATAAGCAAAAGGAAAAAGAATATAATGATCAAGAATAAGTGAAGGGAGTAGTGGAATCACGCCATAGTTCTGCTTAGCACGACTTAGCTCACTAAAAAAACATTGCCTAAAGCAGAAAGATAAAATAACAGAAAGAAAATATAAAAGGTAGCTCAAGCCCAAGCAAAATGATACAATATTTCTTCATTACAGTCGCAAACAAATTGAGACAAAAGAAAATGTAGAGGAAAATTAAAACTTTCATCATTTTCAGCATGAAAACATCACATTAGCTTTGGCCCCCTCAAATTGGTTACTGTAAAGCATGACTACATGCTTTTTTTAAAAAGAAAGCTAGATGTAAATTTTGGCCTAAATGCTATGACTGACAACTTCAAGCCAATCATTTAAGACTTTGAGTTGATGTGAAAATCCAGCCACAAAGCTACCGGAAAATGGGAGCTATCCGTAGAATACAGCAGGCAATTCAGCTGACAAGCAACCCCATTCATGGCCTATTGAATTTTAAAAAGAATGTGACTACCAGCACAAGGAAGAATAACATAGACTTTTGTGGGGGGGAAAAATCAATGCACATCTGAACAAACTAAGTTGAGAAATAAACCGTCTGAATAAACAATGACGAAGCTTTTGTTCCACCATAGACAACAAACATCTAACTTCATCACTTATGGCTCACAACCATGTGCTTAACAGAACAAGCTTTCGGCAAGAATCTAAGAAGTAAACTATGAGAAGAAACACATAATATTAACAGTAGTCATACCTCCAATTTAGGTACAGAAACATCGTTTTGGTTCTTCTTGTCCTGGACTTTCAACCCAAGCTTCACATTTTCTGAATCTCTTAGAATCTTTTTTGATGTGATGTTGACAGAACACAACATAGAAAATAAGTAAGATTTAAATGAAAATATAGACAGACAATTGAAAGGTGTTACTGAGGTCCTTCCACTAAAAAAAGGAAGGGCTTACGATAAAAAACTACTAACCTGACGTGGACCTTGTAGTGTCTGGCGAAGCTCATCTGAGCAAAAATCATAGACATCCAATTCCAAAGGATAGTCCACTTTCTGGCAAGAACAAAAAAACACGCTGAGATTGACAATTAATAACCTTAACCAATCCAGCCATGCCTGAAATAGCTTCTGTACTATTCTCGTAAGTTCTTCCCGGTAGTAAATAGAAAAATAAATTCTAAAAGAGCAAATAAAAGAAATAAGAGAAAAGAGGAATATCCAGATGTAAAGATGATATCAAAGTTTACCCGCAAGATCTTCGCCTTCTGTTTTGTCTCCCTTTTCCAGAAAAAGCGGACGAACTGAATAGTCAAATACCTAAATATATGGGCATGAACTCTCAGGAGAAAAGTCGGCTTTTACCAACAGAAAATAACAAGCAAAATTGATCCACATGCCGCCACAGCATTAGTATGAATAAAGCGAATAAGATAACGTTTTAAGTATTTGGCTTAAAAATACATCATATATCTAAGCATTTAAAATTAAAAAGAGTAAACTATAGTAATATATAGAAAATTTACACAGCATGGAAAACTCCCAAAATACAAAGTAGGTTTAAAATTAATTTGGTGGAGAATTTGTATCTAAAAGTGATTTTAGACGTGGGTGGGTTTAAGAATAAATGGTAGTAAAAACTTTGAGTTAATAGGCAAAAAATCATTCTGGAAATGGGTGGGTTAAAAAAACGCAGATGCAAATAGCCATCCGCAGTTCGCAATGCCGCATCATTAGTGCAAACCCCGACCTCCACCACCAAAATAAAAATAAAAATTGTGTTTAAAAATATACCACGTGCCTAGCTACTTAGAGAACAAAAATATAGCAACACCAAAAATAACACCTTACCCTGTACATTGAATTTCTGAAATACAATATGAATTGAAATAAATTGGGGTAAAACTTGAGTTTACAGGATAGCAAAACACATCTACAGTTAGCGATGTGGTACATTGGTGCGAAAAGGCAAATAAAATAAATAAGAGTTTAAGCATTAGTGTAAATAAAACTAACCACTTAGAACAAAAATATAGCAATTACAATAAAATATAGCAACAAAATTCATTGAAATATTTTGGGCTTATGAGTGATTATAGAAATTGGTCTAAAAATTAGTGAAGATAAAACTTTGGATTAATAGCCAAAAAAACCATTTTTAGAGTGGATGGGGGGGAAATAAATGGAAGCAAGATTTTGGGTGTATAGGTAGAAGTTTACAATAATTATGAACAATATTGTCCGAGTGATTTCAAAAGTTGATCGGTTAAAAAAAGTTTGAGGTAGAACTTTGGGTATATAAGCAAAACACTTTTTTCCCTCCAAGTAGACGGGTTTAAAATTAAGGTATCACATTGAGAGTATGGGTAAAAATAATTAACATATAATTTCTAAAAGAGATTTGGGAAGTGGTTGGGTTCAGAAATAAATAAGGGTAAACTTTGGGTTTATAAACAAAAGTTTCTGTTTAATTTTTTTGAATCTACAATGTGAACCCCAAAAAAGTTATACTGTGGTTCATAAAACAATTTAGTTGAGTACTGTATAGGAGGTGATTGTCGAGATGTGTACAAGAAAAATGGATTTAAATTTTGGGTTTATTACGGGGAATGCTTCTCTTTAACTATATACTCTTTCGGAGTTTCATTGTAGCTGCTACGCCTGTTGGCTACAGTGAAAGGTAAATCCTTGTATTCATTACTTGGTTACATACTATGATATTGGGGCGCAGGGGGCTTAGAAATAAATAGGGTTTAAACTTTGGATGTGTGGGCGAGAAGCCCTCTCTATTTTATATATACTAAGTTAAAGGGTTCCACTGTATCTATGAATAGAATGTAGCTGCTACAGCTGTTATCTAAAGCGACAGCTGTTATCTAAACAAGAGGTAAAACCCTTGTATTCATTGCATTATTAGTTACATATCATGATATTGGGGAGTGAGGGGTTAAACATAAATTGGGTTTAACTTTAGATGTGTGGACAAAAAAAATCCCCACTCTATTTTATATGTACTAAGTTAAGGGTTCCACTATATCTGTAAACAATGCTTAGCTACAGTGGAAAGCCCTTTAACTTTAGTGCATATAGAAGTGGCCAATTACACAGTACTTACCTGGGCAAACTGCTGATATGGGATTCTTTTGAATAAATTGCAGTGCGTCCCAGCGAAGGAGAAGCCTTCTCTAATTCTGACTTTAGACCCTGTTAAATTAAATTATAATTGACATGAATGCAGATCATTTGTACAAAGATAACATGAAAGCTGACATAATTTAAAAATATAATTAGAACTAAGCATCATGAAAATATTAATGTAGAGGTACTGCTCACTGAAATGTGCAAGTCGCAGATAAAATTGAAGCTATCCAACATGGCTTCTGTATCTGACAGGGTCCCCAAAAACTACCCAACTGTTACCTTACAATCAATATTTTTACATTTGTTCAGACATTAGCCTGTGAATTTAAGCTTGTGCATTAAAGCCTCCATTTTTTACTTTCCATGTTAGAACAACACAGAGAAGAATCATGTACTTCCATTTTACTCTGTTAAAGTGTTATGCTTAAATTAATAACCATATTCCCTTAAATTGTCTTCATCTCTGTTTCCCTAGGCATGCCTATAGTCCTTGTTGCTCAATCCATGAAACAATAAATCACAAAAAAAAGAACTCAAAAAAAGAGCCTAAACTCCAAATAAATCATTCACATTGCTACCATTGACAGCCAATAAGGAAACAACAAATTTAGAAAATTAATCAAGAGCGGAAACAATTACAATTTACATCCAGATGTTAAATGATCTGTTGGTCACATGGCTTGACTGGTATGAACATGTGACTGAATTGGCTGATGAAGTAGCCATGGAAGAGAAGTACATAACCCATCCCTTGTTAGATATCTTTCACTATCATTAAATTAGAGATAAATCTGAAATAGTAAGAAGGACAAAGACATCCTTATACAAGGATAACATAATAGTATGATGTTCTGTTAGCAAGTTATTTCATTCTATTGACTTACATGTTTTAGGCCCTCATGCAAATGATTAACATCCTGCGAGATGTGGCATTTCAGTGCATAAACAGATTCTGACTCTGAACTTTCTTCTCCACTCTCTGCACAGCGGATCCTGGTAAACCAACTACTGTGAAGCACTCTAAATAGAAAAAAATAGCATAAAGTATTGAAGAGCAAACGACACTCTAGTTTGATCAGATAGCTATGATTCGGTTCAGCTAACAACTGTCCGGTACATCATCAAGTAAAAACAATGTAAGTATAAATCAAACTATTGAACCCTTTCACGTAAAGTAATGACTAGGTTCATTATGAGGTTACAATATTTATAAAGACTCAAGTAGTTAAGAAACTTCTAATGCAGGATATGGGTGCCTCTAGAGTGCACACACAAGTTTAATTAGTGCGTCCTATGCAAGTGTAGGATGCCTAATTTTTCCTCATTCAAGAGAGTTTGAGTTATCATGCATTGCCGAGTTAAGAGAAGAAACATACTGAACCATCAGTTTAATTAGGACATAAACCGACTGCTGTAGTCGTGTTTCAAATATTTGTTAACCTTACAGGCTCTCATCTACAAATTTCAGTTAACTTATCAGTTGTATTTAGAAAAGAAGACGAGTAAGTAAATTGGATCTCGTAAAGGATTCAGTCTTCATGTTCATGAATATTTACAATATAATCGTGATTTACATGTAAGAATCAATACAGAACTGCTATTTAAGCATGCCATATGAGATGTTTGTTGTTAGAATATCATGTAGGAGGGTCCACATAAAACAGAGAACTCAGTTAACTAGTCCAAGTTTACAACCCACACAGAAAGTAAACAATAACCAAGATGTTCTAAGAAAATTTCTTAGGCAATAAAGTTGCAACTAGACGCTAAGGACTGACGTAGACATTGCTTGTGATCATTTATGACCCAAAAGACAGTAACTTGTTGATATTCTGCGTATTCTTTCTATCTTTCATCTTCATTATAACGAAGCTGCAATAGGTCACAACATAATATTCCGCCAGGGGCTTTTTTGGAAGAATTTTATCCAAAATTTATAATATCGAAAAAAATTCTAATATTTACTTTTATTTGTTTCAGGTTCAATAACAATAACAGAACCATGGAAGAAATGAAGAAGAGTTTATTCATGAAGAAGTGTTTTCTTGCAAAATTCAATGTCAACCTGCACTTCAATCTCATCAACACCATAAATTGTACACAGTAAAGATTAGTTAGATAAAACATGCAGTAAGTTTGTATATTTAATGTCATTCACAAATACCTACTCATACCTGCTCACTAGATCAATTCCAAAAAGTGTTTTGACTGGATTAGATGTCTCGCTACAAAACAACAAAAGAAGGAACAGTTATCATAACCAAGCAGAAATATTGTTGAAGTAATTGTATCCAGAGAAAATGATATTAACGAAGAAAGAAGTGATAACACAATGAAGATATGCTATGAGAATCAATGAAATTGTTATTCAAAAGAGCGAAAAAGAGTACACAAAAGCGTAAGATTCAACTCCATCAGTTAGCATCAATAATACAAATCAAATAGGTAATTATTTAACAATAGTAGCAGTGTTCCTCCACACAAAATCTGGGGCCAGTAAAATCACTCAACACGACAATCTAACAGATATGAGAAATGGCAAGTAACCAAGAACTTTTTTTTAAAATGTATTAAATCACAGAACTAAGGAGAAAAGTGGCAAAATAAATAACTGTCCAGTCTGCTATTATGTATAATACCTTGGTGATGTAGGTGACCAGGATCTTGACGGTTTGAGTGATTGCGAAAGATTATACATTAGTTGGGTCCAACATTCTTCAGCATCCTGCCATTTATTCAAATATTAGCCTTCTTAGAGGAAATGCCTCTTTCACAAGGTATTAAATCTAAGTAAACTGAAAAAACCTGCTGCATGTAGACACCATTTTGCTGCTGAGCAAACTGAGGATACTTCTTCCGTATTGACTGCCCAAAACATAGTCAGTATTAGCGAACAAAAGAAATGGCACATCATCTACAAGTAGAAAGTTAATTCCTAATCATTCTATAAACCACCCAAAACAAGAAGATACTGAAGGAACCTATACAAACAGCATACAAGCAATGAGCTCAAGACTGAATTTGAACATCAAATAGCGCTATCAGCACACAGATATCCTCATAGTCAAAGCTGGACCTAGCAACAGGCTTAAATTGCTATCACCACAACACAACAGAAACAGCTGTTTCAAAAATGAAGGACAATAGGTTTACTGAAGAAGTAAATGTTTCAAGAACTCAATTTATGCAAGTTGTCACTCAAGGAAACTTTTAGGGTATTTAGTATTTTAGGAAAATTAGAAAAGTTTGTTTGTTCCACATTGAAAGAACTGTAGTTGTGATCTATTTGTTTTCCAATACATAGAAGTTGACTGCCTCTCTCAGAGATAAGTCACTTCTCATTTTTTAAAAAGGCAACTTTAGACGAACTCAATCTATCCATAGAAAGTTCCAAATTTAAAGGATTTCTTTATTAAAAATAAAATAAAACACTCATTGTTGCCCTCCAGAAACCATATAGCTATCACCTGCAGGTATTTTCTACACACGAAAAAAAGAACCTCCCCAAAACCCTAATTGTAGTGCACCTGCAGGTATTTTCTACACACGAAAAAAAGAACCTCCCCAAAACCCTAATTGCAGTGCCCTACCCTCCCAACACCCCAAACCCTAGCTGCACAAAGATATCAACACTGCCACAATGGCAATAACGCCACCATCCTCACTGCATCTCTTCCCCATTGACAATGCTATCCTTATTCTAAGAACCACCACATTGTCTCCTCTGCAACAGCAAAACCCCAACCCCATCTTGTCTGCACCAACAACCCACCCCCAACACACACACACACACACAATACAAAACAATACAAAACGGAAGAAAAAAAACCAAAAAAACATAAACACAACTTCAACCAACTCCTTTAAAATCTTCACTGCAACTAAGGAACATAGAACATGAAAATGATGTCAAAACATTAGGATATACTAATATAGGGATAAAGACTTAGTACTGCACAAACATTACTTGCCAGTTACTCAAGTCAAGCACAGATCATCATGAGACTAGCGACTTCAGTAAAGCATGTCGGAACTCTTATCATCACAGCGAGAGTTTAATATTCAATCTAACAGCATGAAAATATTGTATTCATTTAGTTATGGTTTTCATTATGGTTTGATCTCTTTTTCTGAGACAACTATCCTGTGAAATGTCAACCTCCATCCTGCTACACATAATGAGAAGAGAAGAGGTCAAACATGGTTTGATTTCTTCGTATTGCAATATGTACCTATCTGACTCTCTTCAGTTTACTGGCCCACCCATGGTCTCCATCTCGTGCACAATCATTTCAATCATAGACATCATCATATTCCTTTGAACTGCTTCTATCAAAGCTCACTCAAGCAAACCCATTTTTGCAGACCTTCGAAGATGACACCATCAGGACAACTTGATCCTCAATCCCCAGGAAGACCAAAATAGGGCTTATATATGACACCATTGACAGGTAAAGAGAAGCATGAAGCGCTTACACCTGCCAGCTCATTCAGAGAGCAAGTGATAGGTGTTGTGCTTATCAGGCAGATGATAGAACATATTTCAGCATAGTGGTATGAAGTGAAAAGAAGTAGCAGAGAAATCGACATTTATGCATAAAGATTTTTAGATTATCTTACACTAGTTAAACAAATCTATTCCTGAAATGCAGCAACACGTCAGGACCCACTAGTAATCAGCAATACATTTCATTTTAGCCGCAAAAGAGATTATAGGGCTCTTGAAAATATAAGGAAATTTAATGAAGAAAAAGAATAGGAGCACAAAATAATATGACAGCATTACTCCTGAATTCCTTCCTGAAAAAAATATCTAAACCCAGTTGTCTCATAAATACCAAACAGACAGCACAATTTTAATTCCTGCAGAAATTTCTAACATCTGCTGGAAGAAATACGAATAAGTCGAAGAGAACTAACCGCCAAAAATTGCAATGGTGCCACGGGGTTTACTTTTTGATCCAGTTGTTTAAAAAGATCACGAGTCATACAAGTCAAATAATGTGTGTACTGATCCATATCATCATTCTTTACATTTGCATAGCTGTTTGCAAGAGATAAACAAACTCAAAAATAAGTCAATAGAAACGCTAATAATCAATTAGAGAAGACATTAAGACCTTCTGATATGCCAGCAAAAGAGGAACTCACTGAAGTAATGCTGACTTCAACTCTGGGACCGAATGAAGGCATTGCAATGTGGAGTTCATATAGCAGGTGTTTCCCAAGTTGAAGAGACCAGCACTATGCCCCTAAAGAAATAAACAAAACAGTAAATGTGATATGTCAGCTGTATTTAATTTTAATAGACGGACCAGAAAGAACTTTTAACAGATGCAACCAAACAGTTCAATATACTATCATTTAACAGGTCTCAATGCGAATCAAATAATATACATCCGTCCATCTTACAGAAACCACATGTGCAGCGATTTATCCATACAAGTATATATAACAGACCAGTGACAGATAAAGTTCTCTCCAAGCTTCTCTATAATAAATAAGAGACAGGTTCATTGCGGATAGACC